AATTTCCAACATTCTCCCGATTTCCACAAATCTGAATTTTTCAAAGCACCGCCACCGAAACGGCGCTCCTCTCGATGGAATCTCCTCCGTAATCTAATATTTCGATGCGAAATATTCGAAAATTGGTTCGCAAAGAAAATATAAGAGGACGAAATATAGTTAAGCTTAATGGAGTCGATCGTCAATTATTCTAAAATTGGCGACTCGGTGTGGCAGAATCTAACAGTTTCGCGGTGAAACGAAACGATCAAAGAAGAAGAAGAAAAGGAAGGAGAAAGTGACTCGATAAATCACGTTATCCAGGGATGGGGGAGTTGCGAATCGAACAGCAGCTGACAGCGAGAGCGTATGGCGATCGATTAAGATCACGCCACGCGTCATCCAAATTAATTAAATGGCCTGTATCGATCGGACGTAGACGCGTATCGGATAGAACGTTATTATTGCAAAGCGTTGCGTATCCGAACATTTATGAATTTCCACGGGAAATGTTCTACCTGGCGAGCACGCGGCCATTAAATCACCAGCTCCTAGTTTTGTCTCCGTATAAATTTACATTTAAGCGGAGGAATAGACAAAGATATAACAATATCGCGGTAAATGTCAATTTTAGTAAACACTGGTCTCGTACATCGAGCGCGATGTATTCCACGAATATCATGCGCACAACTTGTTTTCAAAGTAAAATGACACAAACGTTAAAAGCATCGAAACAAAAATGTTCTAGCATTGGGCTTGCAATCTCATACATATATATATATATGTGTACGCGTTACTTTTTCAAAAAATATCGTCGAATAATAATCCTGAGCTGCATTGTAAAAAATCGTTTCAACGTTTTCTCATTACTACGTTTATCATCGCGATACTATATTTTTACGATCGTTTTAACGGTCCTCGTTAATTCAACAAAATTAAGAATCGAAATCGATTATCCCGTTGAAAATGTCATCGTTCGTTACATTTTAATAAGTCAAAGTAAAAAATTTATATTCTACGTTTTTACGAACGCATATACAACAAATGTAATGTGATATAAAATTTAAAGAATTTTTAAATTCCTCAAAATGCTTTATTTCTCGCGGTTAGATATAACCACGTATCCGGAACAAATATAACCGAGTATAGAGTTATATTTGTTAGTTTTGTGAAAAAAAAAAAAAAAAAAAGAAAGAAAGAAAGAAAAAGAAAGAAAAATAAATAAAGGTAGGAGAATGCAACGTTGAATATGGTAGCATTGTTCAAAGCCATGTCATCAGGCTGAAGAAGCATCGGAAAGCTCTCGACAACTTCAATAAAAGCTGTTTTCCACGTGTACGTATACGAAGATAGGAACGTTATCCACGGCTCCCATATGGGAACCGTAAACTGTACGATCCATTGGGGTGTACGAAAGAAAGAAGAGGGTGCGTGGAAAAAAAAAAAA